GGGGGGGGAGCACAATAAACATAGGGACTTGGGGGAAGGGAGGTGAGGAGAGTAACATAAAAAAATAATTTCCTAAAAAAGAAAATTCTACTCTCTAACCAAACACTAGATAATATTTTTTGCAAAAAATAATTTCACTCACCAACCAAACAAGGGAAAATAAATAATATAACTACTCATTTTCCATGAAAACATTTTCTAGAAAAATATTTTCCATGAAAACATTTTCTAGGAAAATATTTTCCATCGAAAACATTTTCCTTCATACCAAACACACCCTAAGAGTCTACTAGGAAAAAGCAAACAAGTTTCAAGAAAATTACCCTCTTCTGCAAATTCTCAGTCTCAGCTAGTATCATTTCATGCTGCTCAAGAAAAAACAAGTAATATGTATAAGATCATTAAATTTTCTACTCTATAATCAGGGAAAATTATTTGATATAACTACAAATGCATAAAATTCTGGTACACTTATAAGAAACATAAGATAGAATTCAAAGCAAGAAGCACTAGGGTGTGACATGTTGAAGTGAATAAATAGTATGGGAGATCAGAATTCAAATATCAAAATAGATAAAAAGAAATTCTAGGTAATTTTTTCTTATTTATTTAATCTTTAATTGGTTGAGATGCATACACTATACTACATGGTTATTAGGAAAAAAAGGTCTTCAAGAAGATAGAGTGGAAGCATCTTATTTTTGAGCTTTTTTATTTTCTTTCCATTTAATCTATACTATATTAAAAGCACGAAGGCCTTTAGCGAAATGTCGTTCGTCTTTTTTACCCTTTTAAAATAAAGTTCACACTAGATAAAATAGTCATTTAATTATTTCCCTAATATTTAGTATTTTGAAGTCAACTAAAACTTTAGTTATTAAAGTTTTCCTTATTTGAAAGATTTTACGTATTGTATTTTCTAAGAGGATCTGCAATAATTAATGGAAGGAAAAAACCAAACTTATAATAGAATAGCCCGACCATAATTTGAAAACTAACAAATGCAGCAAAATTTTGATATTAAAATAGCTATATAATTAAGCTCTTAATTAACTGATTAAAAATATTCAATTTAATTATTTTTCAACTTCATCATATTATTTTTCAAATTTACAAATAACTTTTGAAAGAAAACTTGACAATTGTTCTTCAGGTTCAAATAATCTAATATAAGAGGAGATAAAGATTATATATATATATATATGTACGATCTTATTATTTCATTTATTTATATTAAGCATATGATAATTAATTCAAACCTTAAGAAGACAATTAAATAACTTCGATGGGTGGGGACAAAGCGAGAAATCATAATAAAGTATATGAGAATTTATGTAGGATATGATTTTTCTTTTAAGCTAGCTAAATAGGATTAACATTCATCATTTTTAGGACCTTGTTTTTTTTTTTCTATAATTTTTTTAATAACTCATGCACATTGGTTAATATGGGTATGCAATATTTAAAAGTTATATATTCATGACTATAGAGTACACGCGCAAAGCGCGTACCCTATGACTAGTTAACAAAAAAGGCCTAGCTATAATTTATTTGATGGTCACCCGCTACAATTATTAGGGAGGAGTGGTTTCCATAATTAATGTATACATTAACCTTGAAAGTTGAAAGACCTAATATTATTATTTTTTATTTAAAAAAGGAGACACTGAAGTTGGAGCAAATAATTTGACAAATTAAAGCCATTATACCTTTTTTGACCTAATTCTTGTAAGGCCTCGTTCAAGTCTGTTCTCCAACTGCTTCAGTTCCCTCACATTCAACGAGCTCACTCCTTCACCTACCAAATGCCTGGACTTGAAAAAATGTTTTTCTATTAAAATTATTCTTAGTAAAGACACTGTTTGACAATATTTATTTTCTTCTTGTGATGTTCATAGAAAAACAATATATTTGGAAGATATAAATATATAGTTGTAAAATCTGCTCCAAGCTATTGAGTCATGAAATGATCACCTGTTTGTGTTTTGCATCAATTGTATCTGTTGGCGCAGCTTCTTTGATTCTTGTTGGTAAAACTGAAAACATATTAAACAGAAAAAAATAAATGAAAACATTCAAAAATTAATTAGTTTCGACGGACTATTTTCAGTGATACAAAGCTTTGGTTATGAAAAAAGGAACCGAGAGAAAGTGGAGTTAAAAGATTTCAAAATGGGAGAACGAGCTCTTTTGCTCGCTCTTATCTCTAAAGGGCGTAAGCACTTCACTCGCTAAGGGATGAGATCTATTGATTTGTATTCCTGCTAGCACTACAAAAAGCTCTGGTACCACTATTAAGGTTCTTCCCTTAGGACCGACTACAACAAACTCGCAGCTATAACATAAAACATTTTTTGTGACAACGTTTTAGTAATTAAACGGTGGAAAAGGCATATTATGACATGTTTTTGTAGTTACCTGTGCATTGAGCTCTTGAGTAGTGTATGCACTAGAGGTTTCTGTAGTTGCCTTTTTGTACCGTTCTATTGTTGCCTTTATACTGTAAATATATCAAACATTTTTAGCAGTTTTATATGATAACTAGCAGTTAATCTCTACTACAAAAATAAAACAAATTGATATACTCACACATCAAAAGAAAAAATTTGTAGGAGTTTATCGTATCCGTCAATAATACAAGACATTTTATTTATTTATTTATTAAAAAAAGGTTAGAAAATCTACCTAGTAGTGGTATTCTCTTTACTGCAAAACTAATAAGCTTGAACATTATTTATATTTCTCTACATATCGTTAATATTCAGTTGAGACGGCTTAAAGAGGACGCTGTGGATAGTGAGAATTTATTGAACTGGCCCCAATAGCTTGTTTGAAACTGAGGCATGTCAAAATTTTCCAATGTCGTTCGTCTAATATGGCATCAAAGCAGGCCGAGGTTCTGAGTTCAAGTTTCAATGTCGCCCAAAATAAAAAAGAATCAAACTCGCACGTGAGAAGGTATATTGAAGATATAATTAAGTAAATAAAAGAATTCTCTCTAAGAACTTAAGCATTTAGAGATGATCGCACATTTCAACCGTACATAATATATTGTTGTACGTAACTTGATGAGTATTTATTGAATAAGTGAATATATTATTATGTCTTTCAATATCATATGGAGTTATGGTAAGGATCATAAAATGCTGCTCTACCTTCATAATTCTTACTATCCCTTTATTTCATTACTTTTCAATGTAAAAACTATATTACTTTTCAATCTAAAATTTGCAGTCAACCCAATGTGATGGATTGATCCCTTATACGACGAAACCCTTTCCCATAAGGTGCAAGTCTTATCTCGGAATATCACAAAATTAAGAGAATAGAGGAAGGAAAATATCATACGTTTTTTTAGAAATCTTAATTATTCGTGATATTAAATAGCACATAAAACTCTAAAAGAATTGGAAAGTAGTTGTAAAACTGGATTAAACGAAAAAACTTAATATAGTAACTTAGTAAGGTAAACATGCGGATTATCATGATTCTATTCTTAAACAGAAAGAGAATATTTTATGTATATAGGAATAACAAACTCAAACAAGAAGGAATCATGTATAGTGGGAATTGAATTGACAAAAAGGTGCATTATTTCAAGTCCTTATCAATGATGGAAAGAAGACATTTCTTTATTTTCTTCTCCATTAATTCAAATTCACTTTTCTTTTAGTCTCTGTTGCATGGACTCTTCAAAATATTATCTCATCCATATCAAATTCTTCGAAAATAAACTTCTTTTGGAGGATCCAACACGCATCCGGTGACAATTTCGGAGAGTCCAAGCAAGATAGCTTTTAGTTAGTATTATTTATTTATTGGTTAATGCATATACTATATAAAAGGAGCCCAAGTACCAAAATTTGCCATATACATGCAAGGAAAAACCCTAGAGAAATACGCCATGCATCATTTTCTCTTTATCACAAATATAGGTCAAAAACCTGAACTTAGCTAGTGAAATAATTATCTTTCACCAAAAAGGAAAAACCAAAGCTAAAGAAGCTTTTACAGAAATAAGCTACAAATGGAAACTAAACAACCCCTGGAACCAGAAGTTAGCAAACAATGAAAGTGGAAAGAAATCAGAAGGCATTGCAAAGGTAAACTGTAGTTTTTGATATACTTCTTTATGCTATGCTCTTTGTCTTTTATATTTATATTGATAGATGACTTACATTTTCTTGTTACAATCTGTAGGGGTG